ACAAATGCGCTTTACACAATTGATGTGTGTATGGATTGGGATAACAGTTGTATGAGCCCCTAATAAAATGTTAAAAAAAAAAAAAATAAAAGGATGATGGTAACAAATGTACAAATGTGCTTGACACAATGGGATAGATGTATGGATTATGATAAGAGTTGTACAAGCACCCAATAAAATTATTTTAAAAAAAAAAAAAGAAACTAAAAAATAAAATAAAATAAAATAGAATTGGAAAAAAAAAAAAAAGAATATCAAACAGGAAGCAAAAGGTCATTAAAAAGACAGGAAAGAAAGAAAATGCCAAAGTGGTTGTCAGAAGACTCTGAAACTTGCTCTTGAATGTAGAGCAGCTAATCCACATGAAAGAAATGATGACATAAAGGAATTGAACAGAGCATTTCAAAGGGCACCTGTCTGGGTGGACTAGAGAAACAAATCCATGGAGACTCATGTGTATAAGAAAAAGCTTTATATAAGATTAGGAAATGTATTTATTTATTTCCCATTCAACAATTTCTACACAAATTATCCATGACATTGGTTTCATTTTCCGCAATGTGTGAGTATGCTCACTGTTTCTGTTCTGCTTGCTCCATTTCCATTAACACAGTTTCCCTAACACCTTACTTTCTAATCTTTGTTTGAAAGTAATGATTGACCACCTGAGCTCATACGGTTGATCTCTTAAAGGGGCACAGTAGTTACTGATGATAGTTCATGATCTTTTTGAGCCAGTCTGTTATTTAGCTGTAACTTGACCTCAGGGCTTAGTTTCTGTTCAAACTTTGAAGAGTACCTTCACAATTGTGTCAGGAAGTATTCCAGTCTCAGCCAATCCAGTTGTGGTAGTTAACAGAATTTTATGCCAATTTGATATATAAAAATGTCAGAGTGGAGTCTAGCCTGTCAATTGGGCTGTGGCCTGATGGTGACTCCTTGTGGGTGTGGCCTTCTCATAAGGAGGGTCTGAGAACCTGCCCCCTGCCCCTCTGCCTTCACCTGCCTGTTGGCGAGCCACAGGGAAACCTGCCAGAGCCCTGTGATGCTTCCACCGCCATTGGATCCACAAGACTTTGCACCCACCAGCATGTGACCTTCCTGCATTTCGCATCATTGCGTGAGGCTGTATGAGTCTGAAGAGGGACTTATGGACGAGTATTGGACTTATGGACTTAATCTGGACTGGGATGTTTGCTTGATATATAATTATGTCTTGATATAAAGCTCTGTCTTATAACATATGAGTATCTCTGGATTTATTTCTCTAGTCAAATAACAATGTCTACGAGCTAGACCCTAGAGAGAGGTTCCTCCACTCCTTGCATCCCCATTCCTCGTAATCAGTAGTGAGCATTCATTTCTTTATATTTACCTGTGCATGTCATTTTATAGATGTGAGAACACAGCATGGTTGCTTTGTGTGTGATTTGGCTTATTTTATTCAATATGATGTCCTCCTGTTGCATCCATGTTCCATGATACTTGGCAACAAATTTTTCTTTATTGCTGAGGGCATCTACCACATTTCTTCTATGCTGAATGCATGTACCACATCATTCAACCATCCACTGAAAAACACTGAGGTTGCTGCTTTTTGCTATTGTGCATAGTACTGTGATGAATGTAGTTTTGTTTGTTTTTTGACAACTCACTCAAAGTGAACTATGAGCAGTGGAAAGTTAGAGAGTCTGAATTCTTGTGACCATCTAGTAATTCATTCTCTATATAAAGTATCTGTTATGAGAGTGACCCAGAACTGAAAATGGATTAGATCTGCAGTATTAAATGCCGAGGGGTATGCATGATAAGAACTCTTAGTACGCGCACACTTTATGGAGTATCTACTATAAGTAAGATAAAGAACCAAACCCAAACCAAACTCACAGCCATTAAGTCAATTCTGACTCACAGTGACCCTACAGGACAGGGTAGCACTGACTTCTGCGGGTTTCTGAGACTGTCACTCTTTTCAGGTGTAGGAAGCCTCATCTTTCTCCTGCAGAGTGGCTGGTGGTTTCAAACTTCTGACCTTTTGGTTAACAGCCCAGCTCATAATCACTCCGTTTCCCTAAGTGGGTGATACCGCCCCATAGGGGACACTGGAATGATCCAGGGGGGCTGCAAAAGCTGATACCTCCACTTTTCCCTGGATTATAGGCTATATAGTACAAAAGTTTTTAAGTTCCAGGGGATGTTGAGTAATTTTTTTTTCTGAAGAGGGTTTGGAAACCTATGGTATAGGAGATTTTAAAAAGATGAAATTCCAATTTGAAAATCAAGTTTCACAGCAAGAGAACTAATAAACCAAGTGCCCAGAGAATAAATGTTCCAGATTGTCAGGAACACAGAAACTATCAAGGAATGGAGTGGTCAGGGAGGATTTCCGCAAAACAAAGAGTGGTTTGAGCACATAGGCAAAGAAGAGGTGGAATTAAAGCCAGGTGTGACATATTTCAACAGGGCATTTTAGGGAAGAGGTGCCAACGTGGATCTAGACTTTGTGTATTTGGGCAATAATGAGTATTCATGCCTGCTAGGAATGTGAGGTGACCAGAAAAGCAAGCGAGGAGCTTGTTTTTTGTACTGATAGTGAGCCCTGTTTTGTGGGACACTGAAAGCAATGAGTCTTTTTTAGAGAAGATTAACTTAAGAGATGCTAAGAAAATAGCTTTGTCTGCACCATGTGGATAGAATGAAAAACGTGTTTGTGGGAGCATGCAAGGAAATTCATTATGAGACTATTGGAAATGAAAATCTTGATTAAGAGAAGGGGATATGAATGAAAAGAAACTGCCTGGTGGATAGTAACTGTGGCAGTTTTGTGATCATTTGTCAATTTGAGAGGATTAAGAGTAAAGGGGTGGAATCTAGCATGTCAATCAGGTCACAGCCAATGATGCCTCTGTGTGGGTATGGCCTTCTCTTGAGGATTCTGGGAATTCCAGTATTCTTCCTTGGTGATGGGAAACACACTCTCTCTCTGCTCACTTCCTGGGAGACAGCGCAGCTAACAAGACACATGGAGGTATGCTAGTGCCCTGGCTGGAGAAGCCAGGTGGAGACCCCTGCCAGTGCTGAGTTGCTTACAACGCACTGGATCCACAAGACTTCCCACCCACTGGCCTGTGATCTTCCTGCATTCAGCATTATTGCATGTGTTTCATGAGTCTGAAGAGGACTTTATAGATTGGTATTGGACATATGGGCTAATATTGGACTTATGGACTTGATCTGGACCGGCCTGGGACAGTTTATCAATATTCAATTGCTCTTGTATATAAAGCTCTTTCTTATACACATGTGAGTCTCCCTGGATTTGTTTCTCTAGTCTACTCAGACTAACACAGTAACATACAAGGTTAAGTAAAACAGTATTGCTATAAAACATAGCAACCTAACAAAAAATCAAAATGTGAAGCTATTATTTTATACAGCCTCTATTTAGGTGTATATACTTCTGAAGGAACGTTTCCATCTCCCTAGGCTTTCCTTCAGGTGCATGAGAAAGTTGGACATTGCACAAGGAAGATGGAAGAAGAATCGAAGCATTTGAATCATGGTGAGGAATATTGGAAGGACCACGGACTGCCAAAAGAACAAATAAATCTGTCCTCAAGAAGTATGGCCAGAATGCTCCTTAGAGGCAAGGATGGCAAGACTTGGTCTTCGTTCTTTGGAGATGTGGTCAGGAGACACCAGCTCCTGGAAAGGGCATGATGCTTGGTGATGTAGAGGGACAGTGAAAAAGAGGAAGGCCCTCAATGAGATAAATTGACAGTGGCTGCAACAATGGGCTCAGGCACAGGAACAGTTGTGTGGATGGTGAAGGACCACGCAACGCTTCCTTCTGCTGTGCAGAGTTGGTATCAGTTGAGACTGGCTCTGTGGCACATAACAATAACAACAATCTTTCCTGGAAGAAGCGTGTGCTCTTTAATTTAAACAACAGTTTGGGCATCCTGAGGGACTCATTGTATTCCTTTGAAATGTTGTTTGAGTAAAAGGAAGACTGCAGAGGCAAGGCCAGGGTGGGGTGAGGATTCCCAATGGAATTTTCATAGGAGAGCAATTGCTACCCTTGAAAAGCGAGCAGGTGTATGGTGGTGACAAAAAAAAAATTCCTCAGCACGGTTTTCATGAAATTGTTTCCCTCACCTACACAGTGCTCTATTTCATTCAAATTTTTTCATAAGAAGCGCTTGAGATTATTTTGTGTACTTCGGGAAAATCTATCACAATTCCCTATTTACCAACCTGAAAAACAGTCCCCATAACCTTCTTTGTGGGCACAACTGTCTTGAATTCAAGCTTGGGGCCTTCCCAATCTTCCTTAAAATGTTTGATCCATTAAAAAAACGGCTGCTTTGCTTTATGTGAGGCAGCATTCCCATAAACTCACTATAAAGCTCCAGTGACTTGTGAAAATGTCCACTTCCTTGAGTTTTGTAAGAAATTTGGTTTTAGCTCTGGCCTCAAAATATTTTTTTTCCACATCAAAAAAGTATCCTTAAAAAAAAATATATATCTAAGGCACCCTAATAAGGCTAAGACCACTGCACTACTGAGAGAACTTGTCTACAGCCATCACCGACTGACTGCAAAGGCAAGTTTAAAGAAGTGCTTTATTGGGAATGGATACATGTTTATGAACCCAAAGCCTAGTAGCAGTCCCTTTTGGCTTGTGCTAAACCCCATCAAGGCTAAGTAACTGGGAAAGCAAACTTAGCAGTTGTTTCCATCAAACAGTCATCGAAGACAAGGTGAGATGAACTGGGTTCCTTTTGAATTCACATGTGTATGCATAAACATACAAAGATATATATATATATATATATATATTTTTTTTTTTCCTCTTATTACTTAAAATTCCTCAATTTCACACTCTCCAGTTCTTAATTTGCGCTCAAATAAATTTCCTGTACGTAACCTGCAGAGGTTGGGCATGATTTCAAGGATGGCAATCCGCGCGGAAAAAGCAAGACACGAGGCCAACTCACGCCTTCCGGCAGGTCGATGGTGACCTTCAAAACTCCGTAGGGCACGCGAATCCAGCGGGGCTGCCTCTCCGGCCCACTCCGGCTGGGAGGGACTGCCCCGTGCATCGAGTGTGTTTCCCGGCTCCGTGCATCGAGTGTGTTTCCCGGCTCTGAGGCTAGAGTTGCCAAAACAACAATAAAAAAATATGGACAGAAAGCCAAGCACACACAAAAAACCCAACCCATGCTGAAGCCTCAGAAGGAAGAGTGGGCTCTCGCCCTTTTAAAATTCCAGTGCCCCCCACCACCACACACGTAAAATTCCAGTGACACACACACACGAGTCGCCCCACTCCCCGACGACACACTGCACCAGCCGCCCTCCCCAAATCCTGATTCACGAACCGTGCCACCTTTGTCTCGGTGGAAACTGCAGCCTATTTTCGTCCTCCCACCCCCATCCCAGATCTCCCCCAGCCTGCGCCCGCCGGGGCGCTGATGTAAGGCTCTCTCTCGGGAGCTGGGTGGGAGAGCGCCTCTCCCAGCCGGCTCCGGAGGCGAGGTC